CTATTACAATTAGTTTTTCCGCAATGACCGACGTCTTCCCAAGTTTTTTGTGTTCATTTTATAGGCCATACATCAACATAACCAAGAACCACGCGGCTTATAGAATGGCCAAATATTCTTTAGTTTGGCAGAGGTTTTCCGGACCTTACGAAAATGTCCTGTTCAGTTCATTCCTCATTTTCTTTTCATTAACGTGAACATGTAGATAAAAAAGAATAATAGAAGTGAATACAAACCTATTCGCATGGCAAGATATGTGTTTTTCACTGAAACAACCACGTCCAAAATAATTTTGAAATCACTAAAGCGAAATTAGGTAAAAAATAGCCATTCCACACCCATAACGCGTCATTTTGGTCAACTTCCATTACTGTAACTCCCGCCAAGTAGACAGATCGAACGCTATTGAAAACACTTTGTCGCATCTAAGTATTGCGTATTTAAAGCTCAAAATCCACGGATTTGTTGTGAGGCGGCGGCGCTCGCAGAATCGCTCTGGTCCCACGCGGCCAAAAAAGCCAAAACGCGCGATGTCGTCAACGTTTTGGACTTTCAATATCAAAATCAAGCTTTTGTGGTAGTGCAGGTGACCATGCCCTATCGCATCCTATCAGCAGATATTATTCGATCATTTTGAATGTGATGATTTCGTTGTCGTTTGCAATAAACATCTTGCCAACCAAAAGCTTCCAGATTATGGGTTGCGAGCATTACAGCTTGTGGAACTAACAGATTAATCAGTGACTATTTTAAACCGTTTGTTTACATGCAACGGGAGGGATCCAAAAGGAAAAAGGTGGTCGCCAGACGAATTGCTCAATGTGCGCTAGACCGAGTTTAAAGAGCCCTCAAGAAAACACTACTTGGACGGAGATCCTTCCACCACCAATGTAATCAGCAGATACAACACCCTCTTATTACCAGTTTATGATATTGATGAAGCACAATCAAGCTGGCAGACGATTTCGAAATGTTCAAAGCGCAAAAACGAATGGGTGAACTGATCACTGCAAAACTAAAATTGTATGTGGCGTGATCGCCATTCTCCCACAACAATGGAAAAAGGATTGAAGAAAACAGTAAACAACATTGGTTGAAAAGCTTTACAGCTTTTCAGAGTAAACGATTTCTTAAGTGAGAGAAAGACAACTAAATTTAGCACCTTAACCCACATATAACATCAAATATAATAGAACTAGAACAGGTCCCACAGATACATACATTTATGCCAAGATGGACAGTGCAATAATAGCTAGAGGCGACATGTCGTAATACTTTGTTTTTCCAAGGAACATTGCACCCCATGCCCGCAGGGTTGAGATAGCATTGGATAAAAATAAAAAGCATTTGCCGTTGATCAATCCCGTCTTGGGATGCGGCACGCATTCTACTTCCATTTGTACATTCGTAGTGGCGTTTGAATGCGATGTGGCCTATACAATGACTTGCGGGGGCCAGCCGATGTACAAGTCAGTGTTTTATCCTCCCAGACAAGTCTGGTACCAATTAACCGACCCCGGAGGGATGGAAGGCTTGGTTGGCCCGGGCGACTCACGACCAAGGATTTGATCCTCAGACCGCTCGCGTGCTGAGCGCGCCACTTGCCACT